AAATATTTATGTATACCTTAGTACATTGTACAGACGTGAATCGCAGAGTTCGGAGCGTCGAAACTTTTGCACCAACGCCGACCGCAAATTAAATACGTCGAAGAAATACCGGTTGAAGGCAAAACGGAATTTCACAGACATAATATAATATTATAAAGGTGCAGTGTATATGATAGTAATAATTATAATAATAATAATAAAAATAATGTAAATATAGGTAATATACTAATATATTATGGCATCGTGCATTTTGTATGATAATGAAAAAGGAACGAGGAGGAGAAAGTATAATAAAGAGTTGCAGGAAGAAATGGAAATGGCATCAGTATAGTTTAATCAGTGGACAGAGGATCCAATGGCTAGGCTACATGTAGCGACTTAGTGAGGACGATAAAAACAGAGTAGTCCTGAAGTGGAAGCCTAAGTTAGATGTAGGGGAAGAGGACCTTAACATAATGGGAGTTCAAAATTGGAGAGAACTAGTCATGGGAATCATACATAATAAATATTTTTTTATACCCATAACGATTCAAGTGATAAACCACATGTGACTGTGTAAACTGTAAAGTGTAAACTCAGGAAATGACCGCTGCGCGTACAGTCCCACCCAATATGATATTATAATAAATTATTCTAATTATTATTAATACCTAATTAATAACAATTTTCCAATACATTTTTGGTTTAGGAATTCTCTTATTTATATTTTAATATAATATACGTTTAACATAGTAACTTTTGTTTATGATCACCCAAATGACCAACTACCTAGATTCACTTTATTGCCAGAAAAGATATTAAAATCGAAAGTATAATAGCATTATAACTGCCTCAAAAAGTGATGACAGTAACAACATTTTATTTTCTAATATTATGTTCTACTTTTGTAGAACAAAGACAACATAATATTCGGCTGTAATTTCCTGCTCTTAATATTATTTTAATAATAACACAGTAATACAGTCCAAACATTTTAGGGTCGATAGACCAATCGAACCTTATATACATTTTAGGTTGACCATTTTGTTCAAAATATTTTACAATAAATAAAGAAAACTTATTGATAAGTTATAATATTATAAATATAATTAAAATAAATGAATAAGTAGGTATACCAAAATCGTATAAACTTCCACCGACATTATATCGTTAGGAGAACCTTATAAGTGCCCCGCAAAGTGATTCATTCCTGTGCACATATTTTAACTGTTTTTCATGGCCACCTGTAAGACGTGTTTGTAACACTTTTCATTTGTAGTTTGACCAACTGTTAACATACGTAGATATTTTTGGTGTTTAATGTGTACAGTATATAACCTACATTATACCTACATATATTTCGATAAAACACATGCGATTATGAGAGTTGATAACTACTGACTAAAGCAAACAGTACATTTTTGTTTTAAAAAAACAAATATAATATTTTAGTGAATATTGAACATATAGTAGACATTAAAATATTTTTCGTGACTTATATTAAGAAATAAACAGAGTTAGGTACAAATTATTATTTTTAATATGGTTTAGGGAGATATATAGGTACGACTTATTATATAATTTATAGACAAAATGGTGGTTGGCCTTAAAGATGGTTACTGCTCCGCTGCAGAAGGTGTCTTAAAGGATTTCTGAGAGGGATGTTTAGATTTGAATCAATAATATAAAATCATTATATTATATTTGTATAAGAAAAAATATTCTAAGATTTACCGCTCCAGTGTGTGGGGACCTTTAGAAGATGAACTATGTTGGTTAAAAAAAAATCAAGGAAGAAGAAACAAAATTTTACATTAATTTTAAATATTAATCACATATCCAGTTTTTGGGTAAGTTATATTAAACAGGGCCAATAAAAGTTATTAGCCGATAACTACATGACGCGTTTCTTTTATTGTGCAATCGTTGTTTTTTTAACTATTCAAAGCATCTTATTTATATTTTAGGTATACAAAACATGTATATTATAAGAATATAATAACCTTATTAAGTATAAACAGTTAATGACATTGTATCAAAAATAATTTTGATATCTAAAGATTTAAATTGAATACTTGCCACTATTTTTTAGATTCATTAAGCCTCTTCAAAGCATTTGGCCTGTAATGATATGTTAAATAACAATGAATATTAGTTATAGTATACATATATAAAATTATCAACTGATAGGTATATGTATTATATTTAGATATTATGAATTTAATGTTAATACAAATATGAAATTAAACAAATACATATAAAAGTTAAATTAGTTATAGGTACATTATTATACCTACGTTACAGACTTACTTACAGTAATTATAATATTTCATAATTTATGAAGATATAGATACGTATCCGATTATAAATATTAATTTATTTAGGTACATCAAATTAAGTTTATTGTAACAAACAATAAAATAAATGATTTAACCATACTATAATAACTATAATAAGTTAGTCCAAACGTAAGAACTATAGGAATTATACATTGTGCAAATTTCATTGGAGTTTGTTTTATTAGTATTTCAACTGAATTCCCAGACACGTTTTTCTACTTGAAAAAAATTAAAGTTTATTAGAAAGCAAATTAACTTTTACCCATTACGAATTCATTACGAACAATTTTCTTATTTTGTTGTAATTTAAAACAAATTACAGTATGAAACAAGCAATTTTCTATAAATGTTTATTTATCATTTACTTTACTTCATTAAATATTAAAATATGTACCAAATATATTTTTACTTGTAAAAAATAAAACATTTTTAAGAGCATTATTTTAAGAGAACGTCGCTCCTACATATTGTGTTGTCTCCGTCTTACACACGTACCAAATTATCGTTCGCTAGTTTCAATAGGGTGTTGTCAGTTTTGATATTAGAGTGAATTGACCTCTTACCAAACTTTTAGGTAACACAGTTATCTGTGTTCTCTCGTTGGTTTTCTACGATGATTTAATTGTTAAGTGAGTAGTTATGAATGTATAAAATATTAATATTTGAAAATGAACATAACTCAATTAACAATTAAAATATCGTACAAAACTAACGAGAGAACACAGATTTTGATAATGCGTCAATTCACTCTATTATCAAAACTGACAGCACCCAATCGAAACTAGAGGCCGGAAATTTGCTATAAGTCGTACGACTGTAAGACGGACTACGGAGACAACATATGTGGGTGCGACGTCCTCTTAAGATATTTTTTTTTATCATTTTTTAGTCCTAGTTATAAATTAATTGTTGGTAACAAAAGTTACAACCAGTTTTTTTTTTATAAATTACGACATCAAAGTAAAATTTACTTTTTAATTAATATCCAATATGTTCACACTTTTTCTGAGCAGAACGCAGAAGCAGTAAACCGTCTTGTTGTATATTTTATAATATTATTAAGAATTAAGATATTAAGATTGAATAAATTGTATTTGTCAATAACCATATAATACGAGATTAAAAAAAATTAAAATATAGGTAATTGTACCATTGTTTGATGTTTCCTTATCGCAGTTTCTTTCCATCAAGATTTATAGCTATGGGCTATCTATGTATATTGATTAAATGGTATGGTCAATATAAGAATTAATGTAATCGACAAATTGTATTTACATATACATAATTATTTATGTAATAAATAGCTAACATTTCATTGACCGCAAAAGTTGACATTTGTTACATAATAGGATTGGAGATTTTTATAAAAGTTTGTAATGACTTTTGATTCGCTTCTCCTGTGTGGTGGCCGGTGGGATAGAGTTTTGATTCCATTAATTTTATTTCTGCAGGAGATTTTTAAATGTTTTTAGTGATATGTCCATTTGAGATTGTCAAAATTATGGGCATTTTAAAATTGTAAGTTGTTTATAAACTATTTTATGCTCATACTATCTTATAATTCTTTAAAATTAAAGGTGTAAACAATATACATTTTTGTTACTTTTGCATATTTGATTTGGTACCTACTGACTAAAGTGAATTTTTCCGTACAATTTTGTTCTAAATAAAACAACTATATTTTTTTGTTAGTGAATATTGAACATAATATCATTGCGATCATATAACTACTAGTATTTATAGGTAATCTATGATAATATATAAGAATTATATATATTATAATTTTATATACAGCAATCCCTTATTTTAATTTATCATGTTGTATTGGAGTAATAATAATAATATATTATTTACGATTTGTGAATAAATACATATTTTTTTTAGTCTTAGTTATTTAAATAGTTAATAGTGCTTTTTCTTACATGTGTTGCGTGCACCCAACTTACAGGAGGTGGTGATAGGATAGGATGATGGTAGAGGTGTCAAATGATCAAACATTTGTGGTTCGATGTAATATTTATTAAAATTGTAGAAAATAAAAGACAAGTTAAATTTAAATACTATTAGATTATTCAAATTAACGACGAATATTAGTGCCTTAGAAAATAAGCGATTGCTCGGATATTCTCTAAGTCCGAAATACGCATTTAATGAAAATAATCTAAGTCAAAACGAGAAAATGGTGACTACCAAGAACGAAGAGGTACAGGAGTGTATACGTACGGTGGCTACATCACGTCTGTCTGATGGGCTGCACCCAGGGCTCCTATATAATACTATACCCTATCTTTATTAAATCCCTGGCGAACTGTGTCGTTAAAAAAACATATTTTTATTTTTTCTACAAAATGTGTACACTATAAAGTTTACAATATAATGTCTATTTTTCTTGTTTAGTTTAATAAAAAGCTTTGAAACAAAATTAAATGTATTTATACGTGATATAGAAAACCATAAATTTAAATATTTTCAATATTTAAACAAATTTCTGAGCGAAATTGAAATCAACGAGACATCTAAATTAGATGAAAATATAAACAATTTTTAAGTATCATAAAGGAAACAATTCAGCAGTTCAATAACAGGTTTATATATTTTAAAAAGTTTGAATGTAATATTAAGTTCCTCAAATGCCCTGATACTTGCAATTATGATGAATTAGATTTACATTATTTTGAATGGATGGATATAGATACATTTGAATTTGAGTTAATTGATCTTCATTCCTGTAATACGTGGAAACAAAAATTCATTGACTTAAGACAACGAATCGAAGAAATAGAAATCAACCGTCTTCAAGCAAACGTGGTAAAAAATGCAGATACTGAAATTCATAAAGTCAGGAATTCGCTTCCAAACTCATTTAATACATTAAAAAAAGTTGCTCAATCTATCCTATCCATTTTTTCGTCAACTTATGTTTGTGAAAGTTTATTCTCCATAATGAATTTAATAAAAGCGAAGCACAGAAATACATTAATCGATGAAACTAGTGCTGCTTGTGTTTTACTGAAAACTACCAACTATACTCCAGATATTAAAATGTTATCTTCTAAAAATAACAACAGTAATCACATTAATAAATGAAATAAAACTTTACATATATACTATTTATTTATTAAATAATATACCTAATAAAATGTGTATAATTATTGCATGCTTTTTCTTTTCATCTTACCTAGTAAAATTCATTTTTTTTTTGGCACTCGAACATATTTTAAAAAACTTGATTTTAAATTTTGGCACTTGACCCAAAAAAGGTTTGCTACCTCTGACATAGGAGGTTATCAAATATCTGTATTGCCAAACAAAGCAATATAGGCTAAATATATCTAACCTTTTTTTTTTTTTTGTACCGATCGACAGCGACGAACTGTTTCCTTGCGCTACACATTATCCTTGCCCCTGCCGACCATCGTTTATTAATTAAACACACAACTTTAATAGAGCAACTGAGGGCCAACTCCCTCTCGCTGTCTCTAAAGTATATGTCAACTAAAATATATTTACAGTTACAGTATAGCCGGGCCTCGATCTCCGCCCTTTTGACAGCCAGCAGGTGAATCGGCACTGTGCCAGTCATCATAATTATGGAATTGTTAGACACCGTGCAGTAGGCGCCAGCTACACGTAGGCATAGGCGCACATTGGGTGTGCATTTAGTAGGTGCTGGGATAATTTATGATTCGCAGATCCGTGGGGGGCTTTGCCCCCCACACCCCCCTAAATCCTAATATTTCTGCATTGCATTAGATTTAATTTGTATAGTGTATACAATAATATCTAAAGTGCAATGTATCAAATAGTCTGTATGATTGTACAGAAGACGCTAGGTACACCAACATGTGTTGTCTCCGTATTACAAACGTAGGTACAACATAGGCAAAACTGTTTTGCACGGGTATAAAAAACATTCAGGCTGTACTCTAAGCTAAGAAAGTAAGAAACTAAATGTTCACACTATAAAAATGAGAAAATGTACAGTGTAACTTTGTTTTTATATTTCATAAAATTTGAAAACAATATATTAGGAGCCTTCTATTACATTTTTAAGCTATTATACCCAACAAATACAATTTTATTGATACTTATAGAAAAAAAAAACTAAAAAAAATGGAAACTAAAAATGTCCATAAAAACCTCAAAATAACTCAAAATATTTAGGAAATTTTATCATGCATAGAAAATGGAAATATAAATAACCAGTAAGATAATATAATTTTCTATAATGATATGATATAATATGATTGCTACATACTGTTTAATGTTTTGACAAAAACTGAAACACTGAACCATGCATTCACACAATACTGTTTTAATCGTGAACAGTTGTCAATATTTGTAATAAAAAGAAAAATTGTGAACCAATAAACCACGATAGTTTATAAATGATTGGTGAAATACCGAAATAAACTGAGGGTGCTAGTTTGAAGCTTGGGGGTGTCGAACAAATTTCGAATTTTATTTGTCTTTTTAAAATAATTGACGATAAAACATTATCGCTCGGTTGACAAACTTGAAAATTGTATAGAAAATTTCTCATAGGTTGTTTTTAGTGGAAATTTAAAAAAAGTTGAGTCTAAATACGCAATCCATTTTTTATATAAAACTATATTAGTGATTTTTTTTAATATACATGCATTTTCAAGTGCTTGATTTAAAAGTTATAGCATTTTTAATGTAGCCATTTTATTTTTTATTTTTTTTCTATCTAAAGAAAGAATTTTAACAAAATCAATACATTAATCGATCTTCTCAGAACTTAAAATATTATCTGGGGCTATTTCGTGATTTTTTCAATAATATATATTGCAATATCTATGCCACAATGGGTTACAATCAGGTCTTACATTAAAAAAAAAAATAATTCGTTTTAGGTGTGTGAGATTTTGGCCTTATACAATAAATATTTATACCAAATACAGTATGTACAAATTATATGCATATTTACTGTCCCAAAATATGATAGCAGACACACACAAAAAAAACACTCGCATCATTCTAAAACGAATACATTAATCGCTCCGCTCAGAACTTAAAATATTATCTATTGCATTTTCGAGATTTTAAAAAATGTTGTCATGTGCTGTGACCAGTTATTTGTTAAGTTGGTAGTGTCTAAAGATGAATTATCAATAGCAATTTTGTTCCAAATTAAAAAACTAAAATGTATTAATTTAGTGAATATTGAACATAATATGCTTACACAAAAATCAAACATTATTCACTACCATTTTCTAGAGTAGGAAGTTCATTCCATTGTTTATAGAAACACTTGTTTTATTTTGTATTTGCTCAATAACCTTTTAAATACTATAACTAGACATAATTTTATACTATTCTTTCAATTGTATTCAACGCTGTTAATATTATTGATACAGAAATGGTCAAAAATATTAATATGTTAACTGTTATTTTTATAATTAGTTGTATTAGTAATATAATATGGGCTGGAGGTGAGTACTTACATTTTTATTTTATTTTTTATTCATACGATAGATCACAGATTAATGTTTATGGAGAAAAATAGGAAGAAAATACATAATTGTTACAGAAATTCATAAAATGACTGTTAAAAAATAAAAGTAAAATAATTTAATAGAATAAGATTATACGAACATACATAACAACTATTTAATTGAGTTATACATGAGATAGAGCGCGTCTGTTTGTGTCGGTAGGTGTATATTAGTTATCGGCTCCAACACTCATCTTTCGAAAAATAAAACTATTTTAGTAACCATTATAATTATTTCAGATAAAAATACAGAGTATCCCGAGAAGATTTATCCATTGCGATATCTCCTGAGACAATAAATATATCATAAAACTGTTTTTTTTTTTTTATTTGACTCACAGCGAGGATTACACATTTTATTTTATTTTTGGTAAAAAGTTTAAAAAGTAATTTTTTTATATTTTCATTATTGATACAATTGAAGATAATTATTTTTGTGAACATTTTGACTTTTTAACATTTTATTTTCTTTAATCTCATGATTTTTAATAATTTTGTTAGCTTATGGGTAAAACAGCCAAAACCTTAAGATATTAGTGTTGTATTTAAATTAAATAACTCAGATCAATTCAATCTTATATTAAATCTAACATCTTAATATTGATTTTGCTGAACACAAACTTAAGTATCTGTGTTATATTACGTTTGAAATTGGGCTTTACGTACTAAGTCCTCCTTAAAGCCAACCATTTCAAAACATCATAATTGTTGAAACGTAACATATTTTTTTTAATGATCATTAATATTATTTTGAATCAAGATCTAGAAGATTGTGTCAGTAAGTATAATTATTATATTTTACGATAGGTAAATATTATAAATTATATTCGTTGTTATTTAAAATATCATTACAGACCAAATGGTTGCAAAAGGTTTAATGAAAAAATTAACTCAAGGCAAGTATTTAATATTTTAAATCTTTGGATATCAAAACAATTTTTGATAGAATGTCACTCACTATTTATACCTAATGGTGTTATAATATTCTTATAAATATAAATACGATACATTGAATAATAAAAAAGCCAACGATACACGTCATGCAGATTTCGGCTGATAGATTTTATCGTGTGATGTGTGATTTATACTTAATCTTAAACAATAATAAATGTACTAATTATAATTTAGAGTCATATACCGATGCAGAAGGTTGGGAAGAGGTAGCTGGACGTTTACGTTAGTTAACATTCGTTTTTATAATATTGTATTTAAATATTAAATCATAGGTTTATATATATGTCATACATTTAGATTTTTTTGCATCAGCGCTAATCGAAATCAAATAATTATTTTAAATACGTAATTTTATAAGGACAATTATAGATAGACCATAAAATATTTAAAATATTATATTGTATTTATGTTTTATTACTTGTATAAATTGTTCAGGTCTTGGAAAGAAAAAGGTCAAAAGTAAGTAAATAATTGTTGTCAATGTTCTATGATGATTGAAAATATTGTTTTTCCATAAAATAAATGTTTAAATTGTAAAAAGTTTATACCTAATTAATGTATAATATTTATTACTATATTCATCTAAATAAAATAAAGTTTTGCTCAATAAAGTAATAATAATAACCTACCCCAGTTACGTGTGCACACCCGACCGAGCAACACGGGCTTATTGTTATCGCGCTCTCGCATTTATACCTCTCGTAAGCGTACTGAAGTTCTACGTGTGTACAGGTAATATGAATAAATATTTAACCGTTGATCCATTTTCACATTTTAACATTATAAATTAATAAAACACCCAAAAAAATGGGTGAACCACATACCAAAACTAATAGGCTTATTGAAAAACGTATTGCCTCATCTAAAGTTCCAACTAACAAACAAAATGTCCCAACAATATCTAAAACCGGGCCCTCCGTTGTCATAGCAGATAACCTGACTAATGAGCCTACATCATCTCAACACTCCGATAGTGGCTACAACAGTGACGCAATTAAAACCACCGATATAAATATTTCTAATCACGATTCCATCAACAAGACCAACCATATACAGAGAATGCATAATATCAATTCCTCGTCGCATCAAAACACCAACAATGAACCAGAAAAATACGCTGTTGGAAAAAAACCTTTCGCCGAAACCACTATCGACTCTACGACTACCCAAAAAGTACACGCAATAGTCTTTGATTCAATCGACAACATAAACATTGAATACATAATTGCAATTAGCAAATTAACTCCACCAAAAAACATAAAATTTGCTTTGCGGATAACCAACAACCAATTCTGTATATATCTCAATGACAAAAACAAGGTTGATTTTCTTGTAGATAACCATCCCAACATCATAATAAACTCACATACGACGATCAAAATTAGACGGTTAATAAATCTGGCTAAAAGAATAATCATATCTCATGTCTCACCCGATATATCAAACGAATAAATTATATCACACTTAGAACCCACATAAAATCCAAATATTATCACCAATTACACATATCAATGCGGGATTCAACATCCCAGAACTAGCTCATATCATAAGCTTCAGACGCCAAGTTTACATCAAACCCGATGACTTCGAAAAACTACCAAAATCCATACTGATC